TCCAAGATGGCAGCAGACGGTGACGTACGCAAGATCTCGTGAGGGCGAAAACGCGAGGCTTGGAGGCGCCCGCGCTTCGGCTTCGCGAGAGGAGGAACGCCTCTCCCGGGGGGAGGCCTGAGCGCCGCAGTGCATGCTGGGGCCGCCTCTCTCTCGGGAAAGCGCGGGACCGATGAAAGTACGGATCCCGAGAGGCTGACCGCGCTCTGGGCTCAGAAACGTGGTGGTGTCTCAGGTACAACGGAACCCTGCAGTAGGCTGATCGTCTGTCTAAAGAGTCTCTTCCCTGTGCCCGGAGGGGCCGCACTTGGCCTTTCCCCGCCATGGGAGACACCTGCACAGGTCACTTTCTGGAATAACGTTGTTGGGCCCTACCTGAGACGAGTGACCTGCTGGCGCTCCTGTGCAGAGTCTGTGCCATGGGGTCATGATAGCACCTACGTTAAAGGGTGTGCAACTGAGTACCTGAGAAATGCCCACACGGAGTGTTTAGTAAAAAGTTTGGTGTATAGGCGTCGGTGTTTAACTGTTAAAGATTTGTGAATTTGGTTTTGGGGTGTGTATGTGTGCTCGCGCGTGTGTGCATCTGTGTGTGTGTGTGTGTGTGTGTGTGTGTGTGTGTGTTGTTTTCAGAGACAAAGCCAAGCTAACCCCAAACTCAACCATCCTGTATCATCCTCATAAGTGATAAGTATCCTGGCCTGTGCCACTAGGCCTTGTCACATTACTTCACATTAAAGATTTAGGGTGTTGGGGTTGAAGAGATGGTTAAGAGCAATGGCTGCTCTTCAGAAGTCCTGAGTTTAATTCCCAGCAACCACATGATGGCTCACAACCATCTCTAGTGAGATCTGTATATCAGTATACCCTCTTCTGGCATGCAGCAGAACACTGTATATAAATAATAAATAAATCTTAAAAAAAAAAAAAAGATTTAGGGCATCTTGTCCCAGACGGCTGACACAGTGACATTTACCGAATGCAGGACCTATAATTTTGATGACTCTTTCTTGGGAATGATTTTTCTTCAAATGTCAGAAGTTCAGTGTTTGTTCTTGTGTGATTTTTCACCTTGATGGTTTAATATATAAAACATGTTAAATCTAACACCACTTTTGTTTTGTCTTTTGAAAGTACAGCAAGCTTTTAAACATGGCAGACTAGAGAAAGTGAAGGGGAAAGTCTAAACATGAAGCCGCTTCTGACCATCTGCAGGCTGCTTAGACATTTAAACAGATTTTCTGTAAAACCAAGCCCTCTTGTGAGTTTCTCCACTTCCTCTTATTTGTGCCGCCAGAAGAAAAAGAACCCGTATGAAACAGTAGACCAAGGAAAGTACTCTCGTTTAGTGCGGTCTGTCTTGTCCAAAGGCCCGGCCCAGACCCCAGAGTCATTGTTCAAGGAAGACGATGTTCTCTTCGGTCCTGTGTGTAAGCACAGGGCTCCAGAGAAGAACGAGCCGGCAAGAGTTCCAGAGAACTGGTTTCCTATCTTCAATGAACAGAGAAGTGGGAAACCACATCCCAGGGCTTCTTCGGGTCCCTTGAAGATCCCTTTGCAAAGACATGAGACACCCAGTGTGACTCGCATCCTTCAGCAGACCATGACACCCGAACAGAGCTTCTTTCTGGAGAGGTGGAAACAACGGATGATTCTAGAGCTGGGCGAAGACGGATTCGCAGAATATACTTCAAGTAATTCTCTTATTTCTGGTTTTGTGTGGTCGCTGGTTTCTAGGATATAGAACATTCCTGTCCAAAAAATGAGGCTTAAAAACCAACTTACTGAAGCACTCCTTTCAGACAGCATTAAATAGCATTTCCTGGCTCAGAATCCCCAAGGCCACTGTTCTCAGCACAAAAGTGATTGATTTGCCCCGTGGCAGGAAATAAGAGATAAACACAGAAGATGGGGGTGGGGGGCGGTGGCTGGGACAGGACAAGGAAAAGGGAGCAGGGATATTTATCCAGAAGGGACAAAGGACTGCCTCTGGATAGAGAGGAGACAGATGTGGCACATAGGAAAACGCCTGTTTATAAAAGTACAAGGGGAAACCGTGTGTTAGGATAAGGTGTTTAATTTTTATTGGACATGTTAATTAGGCAAGCCAAAGGGGGCTTCTGATTGCTGGACTTCAATACTTTAATAGCTGAACCTTGGTTCAGCCACAAGAGGAGGAAGTGGGCCAAATAAGGGAATAGACCCTGGTGGCTAGCTTTAGGAATGTAATCTAACGGTTTTTAGCAAGGCAGAGGGAATGGGGAAGAAGGACAAGGCCTGCCAGAGCTATGCCCACTATGCTTGAGCTATCCAGAGTCCCTTCAGTGTCTACTAACTTACTTAGTCCTCCTGTTAGATGCTACTGTTTTTTCAGAAAAGAATAAAAAGACAGATCTGACAAACTGCATAAAGTGCATTTGAGTTGTAAACTATCAGTTATTTTCCATCTCTTGACAAAAGTCTCGGTTTTTTTCTTGGCTCAGAATCTAATTATTACCCGTGTTTCTACTTATTATTGTCAGTTGACCAGTAAGTTTAAAGGCTGGCCACAGTTCAGAACACATGATCCCCACGTACATTTTGACTAATTGAACTGATCAAATGTTCTTGACTAGAAACTAGTTAAATAAACGTTAGCCTTCAACTTTTTTATTTTTAAACATTTTACTAGTTCTTTGAGACTTTTGTGCAATGTGTTTCGAGCAGCCTTAGACACTTGACTTCTAAGACAAGTGAGGGTAGCTCCCTTAAAGCAGGTCCTTTTTCAGCCAGGCATAGAGGCACACACCATTAATCCCAGCACTAGGGTGGTAGAGGCAGGCAGATATAGATCTCTGTCTGGTCTACAGAGTGAGTTCCAGAGCTACATAGTAAGACCCTGTCTCGAAATAAACAAACAAAACATTCTTTTTAAAAATAGACCTTTGAGCCAGACACAGTGGTGCATGCCAGTCCAGAGGCTGAGGGAAGATTACGTGTTCAGGCCAGTCTAGATTACATAAGGAGACCGTGGTGGTGGTGGTGGTGGTGGTGGTGGTGGTGGTGGTGGTGGTGGTAGTGGAGGAGGAGGAGGAGGAGGAGGAGCTGGGAGTTGGAAGCAAATCATCGGCATGGGAGAATGAGCTCGTTTCATAAGGATTATGTAGATGTTTTGGTTAAAACTGGGGCTTACATAGACATTCCTTAGCCTCTGCTTCCCCAAGAATATATGTACCCCTAGTGACATTAGCACTTTTAAGATTATTGTCCTTATTTTTAGGTATCTTAGGAAGAAGATACCAGAATAGTGTACGCATATAATTATGTAGGTGGTACTGGATGTGGCAAAAGTGACTGAGGCTCTTTTATAACAATCTCCAGCTGTGGAGGGCAAGGATTATATGCTGGGAGTGCTTTTTAATGACTGTGGTAACCACTAAACTGTAAGCAAACAATGAAAATACCGTAATAACATCCTAAGTGTTTTATTTGTACCACTAGAATTTAGAGTTGATAGTTTCCTCATGATAAATTATTTCGATTTTCCTTAAACTAAGAATGTTTTAATTGTCAGGAACCCTAAAATTAATGATAACAAAGGTGGCATAAGCAAGAAGGCTCCGCAGGTGACAAGGCTCCGCAGGTGACAGGGCTCCGCAGGTGACAAGGCTCCTACCGCCACACCTGAGGGCTGGAACTGCATCCCCAGAGTTCTCATCATAGAGAACCATTTCCAGCAGGTTGTCTTCTGACTCCACACAGGAGTGCGCGCACACACCACTAAATGAGTATTTTTAAAAAATGAAGAAAGCTGCCAGATCATATAGGCAGGCCGTGACATAGAGTAAAGAAATGCACTGGTGTGAGTGAGGGAACCCAGACCCAGAAAGACAATTAGCACATGTACTCACTCATAAGTGGTTTTTTAAACATAAAGCAAAGAAAACCAGCCCACAAATCACAATCCCAGAGAACCTAGACAACAATGAGGACCCTAAGAGAGACATACCTAGATCTAATCTACATGGGAAGTAGTAAGACAAGATCTCCTGAGTAAATTGGGAGCCTGGGGACCATGGGAGAGAATTGAAGGGGAGGGGAGCAGAGAAAATGTATAGCTCAATAAAAAAGAAAAGACCGACTGAACAGGGCTCATCTCTGTAGGTACAGAGTGGCCTGTATTGGGAGGAACACATGGTGTTTGGTAGACATGATGTAAGAACTAGTCTGTGGAGGAATAAAAAATGTTGTGGCCAAATTAAAAAAAAAAAAGAAAGAAAGAAATGGTAAAGGAGAAGGCTTCTGTTTGGAGCTGAATGAACTCACTGTCCTAACGGACAATTTCCTAGTCAGCTTTAGACTAAGGCTCTGTGTGTTTCTCCGTTAATACAGACTTTAAGCAATGATCAAATTTACTTTTAAGTAGGATAATCATATGTGGATTCATGCAATAGTAGAAGAAAGGAAGCTGACCGTATTCTTGGGATCCTCCTGCCTCCTTCCAAGTGCAGGGATCACTGGCACACACCATGCCCAGACAATCTATTTTTGAATGTTTTTTTTATTTATTCATTTATTTATAAAAATTTCCACTTCCTCCCCTCCTTTTTGAATGTTTTTAAATCTTATAAATTGAATCACGTTTTCTGAGCCTAAAATTCATGGGCACCTGAGATCTAGATGTTCATGGTTACATATTTGTGAAGAATCTAGCCAGGATAGGTCTGCAGCTGGGAGTTAGTTGCCTGTTTGCATGGCAATGAATGAAGTAATTTATTATTATTTGATAGTGCTGGTGGTTAAATCATGACCTCCTGTAGGCAAGTGCTCTGCTACTTAACAACCCCTCCTGTTTTTAACAAGGTTGTCTTCTGACTCCTTAAGTGGTGTGTAAACTAACACTGCATCTCTTTAAATGTTAATTCCATCAGGATTAAATTCCTTGTAGGCCTTTCACATGCAGACCATTTCAGCAGGGCAGAAATGTGTGTAGTAGTTTTACCTCCTAAGCTGAATTCCTCCTAACTCTCCAAGTCCTTTCCCAGAAGCAGTTTCAGTTTTTGCTTATGTTGAACTGGCCATTTAAAGTCTTTGTGAACTTGACATAGTATGGCTTACTGTGTGTGATCCCATGTAGATGAGATTGTTTTCCTCTTTCTGTGGGTCTGTCTGCAAGCTTGTGCCTCTGTGTGCATCTAAATCATGCCTGCTAGGCTGGAGAGATAGCTCAGTGGTTAAGAGCACTGGCTGCTCTTCCAGAGGTCCTGAGTTCAATTCCCAGCAACCATATGATGACTCACAACCATCTGTAATAAGATCTGGTGCCCTCTTCTGGCCTGCAGTCAGACATACAGACAGAACACTGTATACATAATAAATAAATCTTTAAAAATAAATAAATTGTGCTCCCTGGACTTAGCTCCAGGGTACTCTTGCTCTGGGTAAACTAACAGGATAGTCTAGGTTAGTTGAGGAGCCACATTCATTATCTTGCTCAGTTACATAAAAATTAAGTAATGTTTGAAAGCACCACCCACTACCTAGCCTAAGAGTGCACCTACCCTCTTTCTCCTTTACCAACAATCAAGTGACAGTATAGCATTCTTGTGTTTATTAAATATGTTTGTGTTTTCTTTTCTTAACTTAAAAGAATATAAGAAAGGCTGTGGCTTAGCTGTGCCTGCTAGGCAAACATGGTTACTGTAGTCTTGATCAGGGCTCTGTTAAGACCTACTAAGTGAAAGCTATTTCCTTCTGCTCAGAAGTATGCAATCTCCCTCCAACCTGGGTGGAGACCTAAGATTACAGAAGAATTTATCCAATTGGACGGGTCAATCAGCCTAAGGGACCACTCTTTAGGAAGGTATATTTGCCCAACACTATGCTAAGAGATGGGAGAGATAATTATCCCCTTAAGGAAATAATGTACTTTTCCTTCCTAGCCACTGAGCTACAAGTAGCTCTGTTAGATCTGCTACCTTTATAACCCTGGCTCAAAATTAGAAATTTTGCTTTTTTTTTTTTCCGTGTGTGTGTGTCTGTCTGTCTGTCTGTCTGTCTGTCTGTTTTTTGGACTAACCAGAACCTGTGTACGCTTTTTCTGGTACGTTTGGCTTTTTCACTCCTTCCACATGGCTGCTTGCAGACCTCCGTGGCTATCTCAGAAAGGAATGGCTGTCCCTTTTCCTCTTCATCTCCGTCCTCTGGGCAGCTCGGGTGCTGGAGAGATGCTCAGTGTTTGAGAGGACTTGCTTTTCTCCCAGAGAACCCAGGGTGGATTCTCAACACCCATGTGTTGACTCACAACCACCTGGAACTCTGGTCCCAGGAGTCCCAATGCCCCCTTTTCTGGCTTCCATGGCACCAGGCACATACATGTAGAACATAGACATGCATTTAGATAAAATACTCTTACACATTAAAAAGAAAGAAATTTACAGCTTGTCAACCCTGTGGTTTTTCTTTTAAACACTTTAAAAAAATTTTTAAAATAAGTCAAACATGGTGGCACATGCCATTAATTCCAGCACTTGGGAGGCAGTGTCAGGCAGATGGATCTCTGTGGAGTCAAAAACAGCCTGGTCTACATAGTGAGACCCTGTCTCAGGCATGGGAGGGTGGAGTAAAAGTGCATTCTTGAGTTTTACGGGAAGTTGAATTTTGCTGAGCATAGCTGTATATACCACATGTGACACTTACGTAAGAAGCCCGCACACTGAAGGCCAGCCTGTAGTACCAACAAGACCCTTCCTACGAAAACAAAGGATGAAACTTTGTGTCTAAGGGGTTGCCATTTAAAGATAACTTGTTTATAATGTATATAGTTTAAATCTTGCTTTGGTTTCGATTGGTTCAGTTTTGATTTTTCCTTGATTTTTCTCTTTAGATACCTTTTTACACGGCAAACAGTTCCATGAAGCCTTGGAAAGCATACTTTCACCCCAGGAGGACTTAGAAAGGAGAGAAGAACACCTCCAGTCTGGCTATATCAAAAGTGTTCAGCATATTTTGAAAGAAATCAGTGGTGTGCAAGCCCTGGAAAGCGCTGTTCAGCACGAGGCCCTGAAGTATGTAGGGATGCTGGACTGTGTGGCTGAGTACCAGTAAGTACAAGAGTGTTTCCATCACACTGGGCAGTGCGGTGATGTCCACGGGCAGGCGTCTCTTAACCCACTTCTAGATGTGCCTGAGGAATTGTGACCTCCACCTTTTTAAAGTGAAATAGGGCAGGAGGTGGGAGAAATAGAGCAGGGAAAATTCTATGATGCCAATATAAAAATCAAAGTGGTGGGGAAAGTGTGTTTTTCAATAGCCCAGCATGGCCTGTCTTCCAGCCTGTCCCTTCTCCCTTCTCTCCAAGAAATATGCCAGCAGCAAGACTCCTCTGATTCCTGCATGCTCTTTTCTGTTTTCCTCTTTAATCAGTGTTGTTTTCTTCTGGTTTCCTCTCCACCCCTACCCCCACCCCCTTTTTTTTCCTGTTTTCCCAAAAATTGTACGGTGATCTGTTGGCCCAAAACATCAGCTCTCTTCCTGACTTCCAGACAGTGGCTGATATGATAAGGATTCTGAACCCACTATGGTTTCTAAGTCGTGGCTGTTATTGTTTTTCCCCAGAAATCCCGATTCCAAGGTTGGCTATTTTCTACAGATATCCCATTCCAAATAAGCATGTGAGCAATAACAGGATGTGGGAGAAGAGTGTAGAATCTGTGTGTGTGACATTTGAACCTCTGAATAACTCTGGCTGTCCTGGAACTTGCTTTGTAGGCCAGGCTGGCCTCGAACTCACAAGTGCTGGGATTAAAAGCATGAGCCACCATGCCCAGCTTCTAAATTTAACTTTTTAGATGCCCCATGTAACTGACATCATTTCTGTCCCTGACTTATTTCATTTAGTATACTGTCCATTATCCATCCATGCTGTCCCAAGTGACAGAATTGCTCTGTTTGTTTCTTGACTGACCTAGAACTTACTATGTAGATCAGGCTGGTCTTGAACTCATGGAGATATGCCAGCCACTGCCTCCTGAATGCTAGGACTAAAGGCTATGCCATCAAGCCTGGCCCTACACTCTAATCTTCTGAATGTCTACAGTTAGTGGGTATTGTATCATATCAGAATGGATGGGGTGAAGAAGTGTCTATCTGCATATAAACCTTTAGGCAAGGATCCAGATCTCCTCTCTTTTATGTCTATAGTTAATAGGTTCCCACAGATTGAACCTCAACTTTTATTTTAAAGTGCCATAATGTGTAATCAGTCCATAATGAGTTCCTTACTACTGATATATTGTGCTTCAAAAAAATTAACCAAGACCATGATGTAGCTGTAATTTTGGTTACTGCCAGCTGTTAAAGTAAAGGAATCCAAGGAAATCACAAGGAATAAAGAATTATTATTTGAACTTAAAAAATATGCTTCCTATTCCTGAGTGCTTTGTGTATAATAGAATTCCCTGTTGTTGAAACTGTCCAGCCCATCCATCATGGTTTTCCCCCTGAAAGCATGAACTCACTCAATAGCCCAGGCTGGCTTTGAACTCTTGACTGTCCTCCTGCCTCCACATCATAGTTGCTAGAATTCTAGGCATGAAGACCATGGCTGTCATGCTCTTCTAATCCCAAGAAATAAAGCCTGGAGGATAGAAGCAACAGTCATTGAGGAACCAAAATTAAAGTACGGAACAGACAAAAGAGAAGAGTTAACTTAGTGGAGTTTTTTCTGCTTCGGGGGATTTTGTTTTGTTTTGTTTTGTTTTGAGATAGGGTTTCTCTGTATCGCTGGCTGTCCTGGAACTCACTTTGTAGACCATGCTGGCCTCAAATTCACAGACATCCACTTGCCTCTTCCTCCTGAGTGCTGGGATTAAAGGCATGCACCTCCACCACCTGGCTTCAGGGGATTTTAAAATTACATTTAATTTATCTATTTGTGTGTGTGTGTATTCATGCGTGCACTCCCACACCATGGTGCACATGTGGGGTTTGGTCTCCTACCATGCTCCTCCGAGGCACTGAACTTGGGTTGTCAGACTTGGCAGCAGGCACCTTACCCCCTGAGCCATCTTGCTGGCCTGAGGTTTTCAATCTGAACTGTTACTTACAAAGATTTCCTCTGGATTCTCCTTAGAGGCAAGCTGTGTCTGATTGATTGGAAGACATCAGAGAAACCAAAGCCTTTTATTCAAAATACATATGACAACCCACTACAAGTTGTGGCCTACATGGGTGCTGTAAACCATGATGCCCACTACAGCTTTCAGGTCAGAACCTTAAGCTCCTGCTTGATAAGCTTGTGTGTGTGAGCGTGTGTGTGTGCGTGTTGGGATTTACTCTTTCTTTATAACACTGCTGACTGTTCCTTAGGGTTCTCTCATCTACAGAGCACTTCCCTTCTCGGGCTGTTTCCCTACCCCTGTTCTTATTAATGAGCACAGTCCATTCTTCAGCTTTCATCTGCCCTCCTTGTGTTCCCTGTGCCCTGGTGCAATCTTTAACCTGCTCATCTTGGAAACCAGTTTGGAGCTGCTACTGTAGATGCTTAGCATTGGATAGTTCGCCCTAGAACAAGAGGAAATACTGGAGCTGTGCTGTGTTTCTTTCTAGGTTCAGTGTGGCTTAATTGTGGTGGCCTATAAAGACGGGTCCCCTGCCCACCCTCATTTCATGGATGAAGAGCTCTGTTCCAAGTATTGGGCCAAGTGGCTTCTTCGACTAGAAGAATATACAGAAAAACAAAAGAATCAGAGTATTCCGAAACCGGACTAGAGACCAGGATATTACTTGGGAACATTCAGCGAATCTGAGAGTTACATTAACACAAACTGAAGATGTAATTTGTTGGGACATATTGCTAGTGAGAAGCCAGAAAGTCCAGAAGTCAGCAGTGAACCAGCTGTATCACCTCTATTACGTACCCAGAAGAGGGCACACAGGATTGACAGTCACCTTGGTGACTTCTGGACTCTCTTGCAGATCTTTTTGTGTCCCTGGCAGGATGCCCAGTCTTTGAATTGAGATCAGAAGGCAGTGAAGCTTCATGTGCCAAGCTTGCCCCTAGGGCTCTCAGGGAGGGGGTGAAGAGGGAGAGCACATCAGCCATCACCACTGTAACAGCCCTAAGAGGTGTTTGTACAGTAGGACTCTCACCAGTAGGGGAAACTTCTTAACATTGAGTTCATTCATACATGATCCTCTGGCCCAGAGAAAGCCTGGCCACACACAGCATGGGCCAAATCCTTTTCCATACCAGATAAGCCCCAGAAGTGGTCACCATTGTTAGGGTGTAGTATCTGTTTCTGGTGTTAGTCAGCAGGCCATATACTAGAAAAACACTGTTGTGGGATTTTTCAGCTAAGAGCAACACTGATATAATTAATCCATTTTTTTTTCTGTGTTTGGTAGGTAATCATTGGTTGTCCTTGGAATTGAGAAAGATAAATAAATGCCATTATTTTCTTGGGAGAATGTTTCTATTTTATAAAGTAAATCTCGTAGAGTTTAAGTTAGAGCTACTAACTTAAAATTATAGGTTCTATAATCACATTTAGTTTTCATTAGTTATAAAAAGAAAAGATACTTAGCTGACTCAGCAGTTAAATGCTTCCTGCTCTCAGAGGACCAGCGTTTGGTTCCCAGCACCCATGTCTGGCAGCTCACAGCTCCCTATAATTCCAGGTCCCTTTCTTGAACTCTGATGACACCCTCATATGCACAGACACAAACATACACATAAATAATGAGCTTTTTGTTTCATCTTTTTGTCTTTTGAGACGCAGTTTCTCTGTGTACCTCTGGTTGTCCTGGAACTTACTCTGTAGATCAGGCTAGTCATGAGTAATGAGCTTTTTTAATAGAAAAAAAATAAATAAAAGTGATAAGGTGGTTTTGTTTGGTTTTATTTAAATGCGTATTTGTGGGGTAATTTTATGGGCCTGAAAATTGTTTTAACTTTATTTATTTATATTTTTGTGGTGCTGGGACCAAACTCTTGGTGTGTGCTGGGCATGTGCCCTACTGTAAGCTTTGCACTTTATTTTTCAGCCCACGATTTTACCACTGGGCCCCTAGCTTACTGAGTTCTATATAAATGCATAAAAGAAAATGTCCTGAGTGAGTTCACTAGAGGAAGTGAACCAAGAAAATATAAAAAGAATTACTGGGTTGACGTAAACATAGGGCTGGGTATTCCAACAGTGGTGATCATGCCAGAAGGCAGAGAACACAGTAGCTGCTCACTCTAAAAAGCTGGATGCCTTAGCAGTTCCTGTCAGAGCTGAAAGTCTCAAAGCTCCCTGGAGATTCACTGTGTTGAGCCGCATTTGAAGGCTGACCTGGAAAATGCTAGTATTGGGACAGGTACTGTGATCACAGCTCCAGCCAGGCTTCCTTCCTTACAGACTCCTATGACATCGGTTCAAGTCTCACTCTTATGAAAAGGAAATGCACATTTTAAGATTTTTTTCCTGGTTAAGAGCACTGACTGCTCTTCCGGAGGTCCTGAGTTCAATTCCCAGGAACCACATGGTGGCTCACAACCATCTGTAAGGAGATCTGGTGCCGTCTTCTGGCCTGCAGGCATACATACAGAAAGAATATTGTATACATAATAAATAAATAAATATTTTAAAAAAAAGAAAAGAAATGATGACTTCCCAGGTGGCGATGGCACATGCCTTTAGTACCAGCACTCCAGAGGCAGAAGCAGGCCAATCTCTATGAGTTTGAGGCCAACCTGGTCTTCAAGAGCTAGTTACAGGACAGGCTCTAACACTACGGTGAAACCTTGTCTCAAAAACCAACCAAACAAACAAACAAAAATCACTGTTAAAAGTGTACAATAAGGTTGAACTTGAGTAACAATATTACTCAATTTTTGAATGCCTCCTTTCCCTCTAAATGGTATATATTAAAATCCAGTAAGGTAGGTTTTCTGAGTATAGAATGTTTTGTATATTAAAGCTTTTATTTTATTTTGAAGCGGGATTTGGCCTCACTGCTTAGCCAGCCCGGTCTTGCCTTGAATATTTTATGTTGCTGTACCTAGCTGAGCCGTGGCAATCCTTCTGTGTTAGCTCTGGGGGCTGGGATTACAGGTGTGCACTAACTTTACCCTTTTATAGCGTGCATTGTGTGATGTCTGTGCAGTGCACGCACAGACGTAAAGGACACCTTCGTGGAGCTGGTTCTCCTTCCACCACCTGGGTCCTGGGAATTTTTTTTCTTTTTGAAGACTTGATTTTTATGAGGCTGAAGAGATGACGCAGTGGTTAAGGGCACTTGCTGCTCTTCCAGAGACCCAGGTTTTATTTCCTGGAACCCACATGGTGGGTCACAGGCATCTGTCACTCCAGTCCCAGGGGATCTGGGTGCCCTCTTCTGACCTCTACAGGCAGCAAGCACACATGTGGTGCACATACATACATGCAGGCCAAACACATAAAAAAGAATCTAATAAAAATATTTTTAAAGATTTTGTGTGTTTTGAGTTTAGAAGAGGACATCCGATATCCTGGGTCTGAAGTTAGAGGTGGTCGGAAACCAACCCAGTGTTGGTTCTAGGAGCTGAACATGGGTCCTCCATAAGAGTAGCAAGTACTCCTAACTACGGAGCCATTCTGGGAATCCTTAGCTCAGCTTGTCTGACTTGATAGCAAGTGTCTTTGCTCATTGAGCCATCTCGACTTCCTTACAGAAATAGAAGATTTGGAAGATCTTAGCTTTTGAGTCATAGCTCAGTATATTCTCTTTTCCAATATAATTCAGGGCTGGTGATATAGCTCCATGGTGGAACATTTACCCAGCATGTACAGGGGCTTGGGTTTAGCCCCAGTACTGCAGAAACAACCTGATGTAACTACTCATTCATTGCTTTAGAATGGCAGAGACACTGACTATAAAAAACTATTCCAATTTGACCCCAAATTACTTTCCTCCCCTTCAGACCTGACCCCTTCATTGTAGCCATTAGCCTGGGATGATCTGAGAGCATTAACCTCTAAGAGCCTATTTTTAAGTTATAGGGAAACTTGTCAGCATGTGACCCTGTGGTTTTATGTGTTGACCTTGGCAAATAGAGGAAGAGGGTTGGTTAGCGAGACTGTGTTTCTAGGTAACCAATTTGCCTACCGGCTTTAAGAGGCGCTAGAAGGGGGTAATTTGTTCTAATCACTGCAGCTTTCCACCTGAGCAATTAACATTTGATTACAACTTACCCTGCCCTCCCCCAGATACAGAAGAGTGAAGCAAGGGAATAGCCAAATGTCTATTTTTAAAGAAACACTTAACATGTTTGGAGCTGGTACCTAGAGGAAACCATTCTAAAGCAATCAACCCTATGTATAGGGCAGAACTGACTTCCTTCTGCCCCCACCCCCAGGAGTCTGATAAATATAAAACAACATTCTGGTTTGGGGTTTGAGGTTCTCCCGTTTTGCTTAAGAGCTATAAAAAGATGAGAAATATAAAGAACACTAACAGATGAGTCCACTGTTTCCCTCCTCAGTGAGGCAAACATCAGCATGTTTGGATCTTTCTAATGTATACCTTTATAGATTTAGGACATGGGCTGGTCTCCAGGAATAAGGAAGTTTTGCTTCCTTTTTTTTAGTTTTTAGATTTTTTTTTAAAAAATCTTTTCTCAGTGCTAGGAATTAAACAAAGGTCTTTCATGTTCTGTGTGAGTGCTATGCCCTGCCCTCAGCAATTAGTTCTCAAGATCTGTCCAGGTTGACCACATGTGAATGTGGTGCATTTTATCATCATCGTCATCATCATCATTGTCATCTTCCACACTAATATTACTATTTGAGATAAGGTCTCTACATAGCCTTGTCTGTCCTGGAATTCATTGCATAGACTAGATTGGCCTTGAACTCACAGAGATCTGCCTGCCTCTGTCTCTCAAGTGCTGGGGTTAAAGATGCATGCCACAGCCAGCACTGGCATTAGTTTTAAGTACTCTGTGGCGTTCCCTCATGATCACTGCCATGCTAATGAATTATTAAGTTCACTTTTGACGGTGCCGACAGTACTTTGGTGAACACTTCTTACGTGCTTTCCAGTATGTGCAAAGCACATGCTATACAGTGCAATAGAATATAGCTGTGACTCTGTCATTTACTAGCTCTGTAACCATAGCCGAGTTACCCAGGAACTTAGGAACATGTATAAATAAATATGTGTGTTACATGTAAACATAATATATCTGTTATATATAACATTTATATGTTCGTGTAACAAAAATTAATGAAAAGAGTTCATAAATTTGAAAGAGCAAGGAGGGGGTATATGAAGGGGTTTGGAGGAAGGGAATGGAAGGGGGAAATGGTGTAAATATATCTCAAAAATAAAAGAAATAATTAAAATATTTCTCTTCCAATGAAATTATTGCCAGGCGTTGGTGGCGCATGTCTTTAATCCCAGCACTCGGGAGGCAGAGACAGGCGGATCTATGCGAGTTCAAGGCCAGCCTGGTCTACAAGAGCTAGTTCCAGGACAGGCTCCAAAGCTACAGAGAAACCCTGTCTTGAAAAACCAAAAAAAAAAAAAAAAAAAAAAAAAGAAAGAAAGAAAGAAAGAAATTATCAATTTAAACACCCACAAGCAGTGTCTAGTCTTCTGATTTTTCCATATCCCCATCAACAGAATAGTTGCAAGACTTTTCCCCCAACCTGATAGGTTGAAAACAATCCATCTGAAATACTAGACATAATTGCTTGCATTTAGAACAGGATTGCCATCTAGTGGTGCCAAGCGGCACTGCAATTATGATGCAGGAGCCAGAAATCTCTAGGGAATTGGGTGGACACTATAGGTCTGGTTTGATTTTATTTACCTGTTTTGTTTTAATTTGTTTGTCTCAGAGCTTCTCCAGCTACCTTCATATTACCGCTCGTCCTGCCTCAAACCCCTGTATCTTCCACAAAGGACCAGCTCTCTGATTGGAGCAAGATGGACTAGGTGAGTTTCCCACCATCTAGTCCCTTTTAAGCAGCTGTACTTCTCATTTTTCTACCACGGTGGTAGAATTTTCTCTAAGTCTCAAATGAGGGAAGCAAACCCAGTCTGCAAACCCAGTCAGGCCTCTTTCAAATGAATGCATCTGGGTCACAGCTCAGGCGAGGGATAAATTAGGGATGAGGCCAACTATTTACCAAACCAGCAGGGGACTGCAGCTCCCTTCCACCAGGGTGGGCTGCCATTGAGCATGACTAACCTGCAAATGGGAGGTTACCAGTAGGGTACAACTCAGAGCTGGCCACGTTGCCCGAGAATCCTGGTTCACATCCTTCCAAATCAGCCCTAGCCTATCCACTGTGAACACTACGTGCCCTGGCCTGAAAGGACCTGGGAGTGCTTAAAACACTAGGTAGCAATTAGAGGAGGCACAGATCCAGTCTACATGTATTCATGCGTTCTGTGTATGTGTGCTCCTGCACGTCATGGCACACATGGGACAGAAC